AGGGGCAAAAAAGTAAAAAATAAAAACCGCTGAAACTTCGTTTTTTGACGTTTCAGGGATCTTGATTATTTTTGAAAAAAGTTTAACGGGTGAAAAATTGGATAGTAGTTGAGCGAAGTAGGACATATTTTCGCATGGATCTTATTTCTAAGGAGCCCCAAAAAAGTAGTTTATGCAAATGTGCACCAGGTTACCGTCCGATCAATCCGCTTGGCACATCGTGGCAACGGTGCTTTTGTCAGTGTAACTAACCTATTCTCGGTTGAGAGAGATGGCCGAGAGACCACCTGGTAATTAATAGTATGATTTTTGGATGCGTCAAGTTGGTAACTTCCACTCAGGGTTGTCGATGCCAATGTTTCATATTCCCCAAAAATCCGTTGAATATCTTCAGATAGAATACGTTAATCAATGATAATGCTAATTCGTACATCTGTTAGATTTGTGAGAAATCAACCGGACATTTAAAAGGACAGAAAAAAATGGCGTCAAGTAGAATGACTCTATACGTCCTACGCCTTCGTTAGAGGTTTCAAAGACAAGCGATTAGTCAAGTCGCTTCAAAAGACGCAATCTAATCGTGACGTAGCTTTTCTTAGGTACGATAAATCTTCGATCTCTACATATTGAACTATAAAAGCATATTTCTGTTTCCATGGCAGATGTCATTATGTCTAACAGGTGAATAATATCACCTGTATCACCAGCTTCTTAATAATAGAAGGTCTTTCAATGACACCAAACATAAAATAATTTACAACCATTTACTGCATACAACTTGCAACCTACAATACTCAACCCCTCCAAACAATGAGCAGGAATCTCTTAAACATTGTAACACAACGTTCCAGCGCTTTTAATTTTTTTCCGTAGTTCCACCGCTACTAAATAACATAAATCTTCGACTACCTAAACCTAAACGATGTATGTATTTGAACGCGCGATAATATTCGTACTTCAGTTCACAAGCCTTTTGTTGTTTAAAAATATATGCATCACGCAAGTTCGTGTTTCTCATTTATGTCGGTTTGTCATTCCGTGTCTGTTGTATATCAATGCGCAATAAGTACTGAGCCAATTTACTTGACGAAATAACCATCAAATACTGAGTAACACAAATTAAAGGCTAGGCGGAATGGGTGGGTACATTTACGTACATATAGAAACAATTAAGTCATCATTTACAAAATCATCGCAGAACGTTATAGTGGTATGTACTCCTAATACCAAAATGACTGAAAATTGAAAGTTATTTCGAATTTTGAGCACATTATACATATTATGTACATCAGACATTTATCATCTAATTTTCCCGTTGTTACCAGAATTAATTTTAAGCTTCTCAATAATAGAACGTCTTTGGCTGATACATTTACGATCCCCCACCCCTACAACTCCAAAGCCGCAAATTTTAACCACTACAAATTTTTTTCTGAAAATGATCAAAAAACAAAGTTTGAGCGATTTTTATTTTTCTCAAGTTATGGGATTAGCGAACAGACCGGCAAATAGACAAAACGACGGAAATGACATGGTTTTGTTATGTGATGTACTGGTACATGTCATATAACATCCAAAAAAACAATCTTAACATCTAATGACCCCTACTGAGCGGGGCCGTGGCAAATGTTTGTTCCAGAAGTCGTTGTATCCAGTATACAACTTCTTCCCGTTCAAGTGAATGTACACGCGTTAAGGTACTCAGTACCGATTGCCGGGTGGCGGTACAAGTCCGTCAACGGGCCACTTTAGGTCTATTTAACATCACTAACACGTAAAAAGGAGGTGGTAGACAAGGACCAGTCGACCGAGGCAGCACCACCCGCTAGCTTTTTCGAGGGTGTCTTATAAATGTACGCATGTTTTCACATCTAAGCTATGCAGTCGGTTATCTTCCAAAACAAAGAAATTAATGATGATGGATCCCTCGAGCACTAAGAACTCCGGACGTAAACTCACTCCACTCCGGGTGGAGGGTAAGCTCGAGGGAACAACATCGACGATAAAATTTGTTTTTCGAACATCTGCAGGATTAACAGCAACATTGATGCTGTTCATCACTACCTGCAATCCAATCGTCCCGCCGTACTTTTCTTGGCGGAGACAAAAATCTCAGAGGCTGCACAGGTTAGCCATCTTAACTTCCCAAACTACGAGGTGCACTCCAATCTGAGAAAGAACTGGGAAGTTGTGGCTTCTGTCTGCAGCAGTCTTTCGTGCTCCAGAGATGTTTCTTTGGAATCAGACCGGAAGGACATTCTGTGGCTTCGCCTCAACTCCAAAACATCACCCAAATGTATTTGCTGTCTTTATCGCTCTTCCTCGGACCATAACTGGGATGACCTACTCGAATACCTCGCCGTCCAGATCGACTTCCTGAACATCAATCATCCCGCTTCAGAGGGAGTTCTGCTCGGTGATTTCAATGCCCATAATGAGCTTTGGTTGGGCTCAAACAAGACCGACGCAGCAGGTCGTGCAGTCGAAGCGTTCGCTCTTACCCAAGGCTGACTCAGCTGGTGACGAGCCCTACTTTTTTCCCCCGCATCTCGTCACACGCCAGTAGCCTGCTGGATCTCTTTCTGACCACACATCCTGTCCCTTACAGCACTGCTGTCCTGTCCCCCTGGGTAACTCAAACCACGGTGTTGTGGAGGTTAGGTTTCGTTCAGAACCTGCTGTGGCAGCAGAAACTCGTACAGGCCGCAAAACTTGGCATTACCGACATGTCGACTAAGAGGGGCTCAGAGACTTCTTCTCTAGCTTTCCTTGGAAAGATGTCTGTTTCACTGACGCGGATGCGTCGGCTGTCTGTTCTTCGATAACCGAAATTATCCACGTCGGAATGGAGGAATACATCCCTCAAACAGTGAAAGTGCCTAGACCAGGGTTCAACGGCTGGTTTAACCAATTGTGTAACGCTGCTCGCCAGCAGAAGATCAAGGCACACAAAACCTTCTTAAAAAAACCCACTGTAGAGAACAGACAGCCGACGTTGAGTCCAGAAACAAATATAAAGCAATGCCAAAAACCAGCACGATATAAAAGTTAGGCACAGGGTAATGTAGCAGCGCAATGGCAGTCGATCTTTGCTGCCAACTCCACCATGGTCGTCGTCCCCAACGTCCAAGTGCCGTCAATTCAAAGGGTTCCCTACACTATGCGGGAGGTAACATTCAGGCATAAGACCGTAAGACGAGTGCTCTTGTCGCTCGACATCAACAAAGCTTCTGGTCCGGACTTGATTCCTGCGATTGTACTGAAGAGGTGTGCACTGGAGCTTGCTCCAGTTCTTTCGCGTCTCTTCCAGATATCTTATGAATCCTTCCCAGAAAACTGGAAATTTGCTCATGTCCAACCCATCCCAAAAAAGGATCTAAGTCCGACCCTTACAACGACAGGCCTATAGCTCTGCTTTTTGTTTTAAGTAAGGTGATGGAGAGGTGCATAAATCGCGAGCTTCTGGACTACCTCTAACGTCACGGCTTGATTAGCGACAGGCAGTATGGTTTCCGGCACCAACGATCCACAGGAGACCTCCTAGCTTAGGTCACTCAATTGTGGAGTAAACTCATCCAGTCTTATGGTGAGGCTCATGTCGTTGCTCTTGACATCACGAAAGCGTTCGATCAGCTGTGGCACGCTGCCCTCTTAAGCAAACTTCCATCCTATGGCCTCCCAGAAAAGCTTTGCAGATGGGTGGCTGACTTTATCTCTGGCCGCAAGATATCCGTCGTAATTGACGGGTTCTCCTCTTCATCCCACAACGTCAACGTGGGTGTTCCCCAGGGATCGGTCTTGGCTTCGACACTGTTTCTCTTACATATCAACGACCTCCTTTCCTGCACGATCAACCCAATCCACAGCTTCGCTGATGACAGCACTCTACATGCAGGAATTCAGAGTCGCAAGCCGATCTCTGCCGATGAGTTGGAAAAAAGAAGACTAGCGATGACTTCTTCTGTGACAAGAGACCTGGAAGCTATCACTGCTTGGGGACGCAACAATATTGTACATTTCAATGATTCCAAAATCAGTACTGTTCTTTGACGATGAAAATGCGTCCCTGCGCTCACCAGGTTTCGATGGATGGTCGAGTTCTGCTAAAGAGCCAGCCATTCATTTCGGCTAGTCGGACTTTGGCGTCCCATCCTAACCGTGTCGAACTTCGTACATCCAGAACCGGCCGATACGACCGCTCCTTTGTCCCGAGGGTGTCGAGATTGTGGAACAATCTATAAGAGGAAGCTTTTCCCAGTTCTATTAACCTTAGGCAGTTCAAAAATGGTATTAATAAAATTTCTTTGGGATCATCATAGCAGCCGCGGTGTTCCGGCATTTAGGCTTCTGCCTGCGCGGCTGCTTCGATATATAAAAAATAATCATACAAGGTAAGGTGGGGTAAGAGCATTTACGGGGCAAGTGCAGCTTTTGCGTTTAAATTTCCCGGATATCAGTCAGTTGTGCTACCATCTATGGATCGTTCATCTACCCAATTCATCTCAACTTTGTAAAATAACAGAAGAGATCAGCGACCGGTATTATGTCCATGACAAACACGCGAAATTTTATTCGCCATTATTGTCCAGCAACAAGTAGGTTACGTTTAATACATCCGTCAATATCAAGGCCATCTTTTGAGTTACAGTTTTGATTTATGGTAAGTACACTTATTGTTCTATCATTTTCCTAGTGATAACGATATTTTTGCTTTTATTTTCAATAAAACAGTTTTTGTTGATAGGCTGCACTTTCCCTGTGATTTTTTTGTACAGGGGCTAGAGCGGCCTATTTTAAAGGGGCAAGTGCAGTCTATAAAACGCACTTGCCCCAACAGTATTTTTGAAATATTCCCTCTGTTTCAGAATTAAATTATGGTTCGCAATTATATTCGCAAATCTCAGAGAGGATCCGGATATTCAAAAGAAGATCTAAGCACTGCTATAAACATTGTAAAGAGTGGACAAATGAGTATTTACAGAGCTAGCTTGATGTATCATATTCCAAAAAATACACTTTCGGACCATGTAAAAGGGCGCAGAGGTCAGAAAAGTTCAACCTATGGTAGAAGGACAGATCTCAGTTTTGAAGAGGAGACGTGTCTGGCAGATTGTATCCGCTGTATGGAGAAGTGGGGATTCGGTCTAACCAGAAAGGAATTGCTCGGGATAGTGGAAGATTACGTTAAAACGAATAAAATTAAAACGCAGTTTAAAAATGACAAACCAGGTGAAGACTGGTTTTTAAATTTTAAAAGTCGTCACAAACTTGGATTAGAGGATAAACCATCTTATGGTACGTGTACACTGTAGAGAAAATCTACCTAGATTTTAGATTTAGATACGTTCTCTAGGTGAGACTTGTCTATGTTCTGTGTACACTATAACATATTTTGGCCCTCGCTAGACCTTCGTAGATATTTCCTAGATTAAATCTATACCAATTTCTCTATGTAGTGTGTACATAACATGGTAGATTTGATCTCGTAAAAACGTATAGGCATTATTGCACCGTAGTTTGTTGGAAGTAGTTTGAAATGTCGCGAATTAAGAAAATTGCAGCTGCCTCTGTTATTTTAATAACGAAGAAGAGAAAAAATGTTGAGCTAAAAAACAAGAAGAGAATAATGTGGGTTAGGAGCTGGATTTCAAGAAGACAGGATAGTGGTTTTTTTGCTCAATTGGTGAAAGAATTACACAGCGAAGACATGAATTCATTCGCTAACTTTTTACGCATGAGTAATAAGGACTATGAATACTTGCTTTAAAAAGTTGAACCATTGATTTGAAAACAAGATACTCATCTTAGGCTAGCTATTTCACCTACAGAACGGCTCATGCTTACTTTACGGTTTTTAGCAACAGGTGAGTATTGAAAGACATGAGTTTGTTTTCTAGGATGTATTTAACTTAAAAAGCAAACAAAAACAACTTCTAATTAAATCATTTTTAATTGTAGGAGATAGCTATCATTCCCTGCAATACCTTTTTCGGATTCCAGTCACGACCATTTCAAGGATTATACCTGAAGTTCGTGAAGCGATATTTACTGTGCTGAAAACGGATTATCTCCAGGTAAGTAATTTTCGTAAAACTGCGTGATTGGAGGAAGGTTTGTAATTGTATTTTATCGGTGCCTCTTCAAAACTTTCAACCGTATTTGAAGTTGATGGGTATGTACTCGAATGTGAATAAGTAGGCGACATTAAAGGTGTAAGGGTTCTTGATCCAGAAAACTCCACTTCATCTTCCTCGCTCATTGCAACTATAGCTTTCTGGATTATTCGTTTTAATCTTCTTTTTCGTTCATCAGAACGCAGCTGCCGTAATTCACTAGCAACATATTCACCAAATACGGTATACTCGTCAGTTGGTGTATTTAGTATGTTTTTAGCCTTTTCTAGCATTGCATCATCTTCCTCGTTCGTTTTTTCCTTGGCTTTGGTTTTTAGTTTTTTCGAACGATGAGTTGTAGTATTTGATGTTGTTAGTTTTTCTATGCTTTGTAATTGAGACTCCTCCAGAAAATCTTCCTCTTGCGACGAAACCTGAAATAAAACAAAAGTAGCGATTAAGCTTATTTTTAGTTTTGTAATATTACTTTTTTCTTTTAGATCCCAAACTCTCAGGAAGAATGGTATGAAGTTGCAAAGGGATTTGAGGAGATTTGGAATTTTCCAAACTGTTTAGGTACTCTAGCTGGCAAGCACGTGGTTATGAAAGCACCAAGGAATAAAGGCAGTCTTTATTTTAATTATAAAGGAACACATAGCATAGTCCTCATGGCACTAGTTGATGCAAAATACAAATTTCTTTATGTGGATGTCGGATGCAATGGACGCATATCTGATGGTGGCGTGTATGCAAACTGTTCATTGTCAAGAGCATTAGAAAACAACATGTTAAATGCATGTGCCAAAACCAAGGCCATTACCGGGTGAATCTGAAGATGCACCTTTTGTTGTTATTGCCGATGATGCTTTTGCCTTTACTTCCTATTTATTAAAACCTTTTTCTTTCAAAAACCAACCAGGATCTAATCGGGTTTTTAACTACAGAATATCAAGAGCAAGGCGTGTAGTTGAAAATGCTTTCGGACTGATCTCGGCTCGATTTCGTGTTCTTAGACAACCACTAGACCTACCTCCGGAGAAGGTTAAAAAAATTGTACTTGCAATATGTTCTTCGCATAATTTCTTACCGACCCAAAAAAGTTCGGCACATTTATATGCCCCAAATGGAATATTTGATACTGAAAATGATGGGAACGTTATCAATGGGAGTTGGAGAAATGGAGGAAATCCTATAGCTAATATGGTTCCTTTACAGACTACAAATGTTAGAAACCCATCGAAAACAGCCAAAGAAGTACGAGAACAATTCAAAAATTATTTTGTATCCAAACATGGTGAAGTCGCCAGGCAGTATAAATATATATAAACATAATACCATTTTATCTGCTTAATGTAATATATGTTTCTAATGCTGAAAAAATGTTTACTCACCGTATCCCTAAAGTTTGCAGTGCTTTTGGTGCTCCTAGAGCAACCCATCATGAACTGTAACGCATCATAAAATTCCCACCTACTTTTCCACAGTCTATCATCAGTTCCATCTCCACTTTTGGTTTTTTTAATTTTCCTTATCTCCGAATTCATTTGACACCTTAAATTATGCCATTTTCTTCCAACTTCGGCTTCAGTGGTTTTTAACTGATCTGCTATATTTTTTATAGCTTGAGCCTTTTTATCCCGATCTCTGTACTCCTTCAATATGCAATTCCAAAGTTCTGGATGTGCCTCGTACATCTCAATTAGCTTGAGAGTACTTTCTTTGTCCCATTTCATAGCTTTTTGCTCATTTACACTTGGTGGGGAAGCCATGCTTTAAACTAATCTATTTAACTCATCGAATAGAGCGAAACAATGCGAGAGTGATCTAGAGAACTAGTCTCAGTACTGTGTCCACTACAACCCTAACTAGACTAACGTCGCGCTACCGAGAGTATTACGCCACACTCGCTAGAGCAGTCTCAGTAATATGTACACTATAGACTTAGTCTAAAGCGACTCTAGCTAGCGCAAATCTCGGGGAAAAATCTATAGTGTACACGTACCATTAGATATGGAACTTAGATGAGAGCAGTTTTTGCTCAGACCCTTCAAAAACGAAAATCGTTGGGCAACGGGGACTGCCAGCTACACGGACAACAAGTGGGCATGGAAAACAGAATACCACTGTCTTAATGTGCTGCAGCGCAAGCGGAGAAAAGGCGCCTCCCTTAATAATTTTCAAGGGCAAGCACGTCTGGGATCAGTGGCTTGCACCCCCTGGTAGCGAGTTTCCCGACATGACATATGCAGCAACCGCCAACGGATGGATGGAAAGCACAGTTTTTAAAAACTATTTTGAAAAAAGTTTCGTTAAGTGTTTGCCTCCAGAAAGACCAGTCTTAGTAATTTACGATGGTCATGCGACTCATTTAAGTGTAGAAGTTGTTAGAATTGCTATCGACAACCAGATAACAATTTTAAAACTTCCCCCACATACCAGTCATATTTTACAACCACTTGATTTAAGTGTTTTCAAATCCCTAAAAACTCGATGGGATGCTAAACTAGTAGAATGGCAGCGTAAGAACGTGGGTATTAAGATGCCGCAGAATATTTTTTCAAAACTTATTGGAGATATATGGAGAGAAACAAATCCTGAAATACTTCGAAGTGGTTTTGTTAAAGCTGGGATTTATACTTAATGTAAAACTGTTTGTTACTTTGGCAATTTAAATACATAAGTGACGATAAATTCTTATTACTTAAATAAAAACAAGAGTGTTATCCATCGATAATGTATTTTTGTATCATTTCAAAAAGGTATCAGTCCCTTTCTAAGATCATCACTCAACTTCTGACCAGGATAACATTTATTTTTCGTGTCTAACCAATTATCCATAATATAAAGATGATTGCTCTTGCCTCGTTTTGATTTCTTAGCAAAACTAACTACAGTAATGGATTTTACGCTCTTGCCCCGACTGTATGGGACAAGAGCAGCAATTCTCATCCTAATAAAAAAACAACATTTTTGGTAAATTGTAAATTTTCTAATTCAATCTAAAATATTCAGTTTTGTAGAGAACACTATAGGCTACTCTCTGGTTAAAATGCATCATCCATAAAACATTTTAAGTATTTTTTCTGTGATCTCGATTTTGAACTTTTAATTTTTTGGGCAGCACTTGCCCCACCTTACCTCATACATTTTTCGTGATTACAATACTTCTCCGCCAGTAGGCGTGGAAAGTAAAATAAAAATCAATTTATTGGTGTTTTTGGCGTATGACTTATACAGGTTAAGAATATACAAGTCTATACAATCATAAGCACATATTGAAATTCCAAATAGTTTTGTTAAAATATTCATCCACAGAGTATAGTGGATTTTTGATAAATTAGTATCTAATACGAATTTTAGAATTATCGTAGGGAAGAGTATTTACCGTTGGTGGTAAGTAGTTAAAAAATTTTACATTCCAATAACTTGGGCCATCTTGACACCTTCTCAGACTAAGATACCCCCATTTTGATGTCGCAAGGAAGGCATGGGAAGTATAGACTATCTGAAACCACAGCTGATCTCTATTGCAGAACCATACTGCCTTTCTAAGTAGATAACAATCTAAATATAGGCAGTTTATTTTATTTTCTAAATGTCTCTTATGGCGCTTGAGGTCCCAGAATAAAATAATCGTTTTGATGCGTCTCAACAAGCCGCTAATCTTCCTTTAGGTCCTTCTCGGTATATTATCACATCATATCTGTTTTGTTTAACATCTAAATGACAACTAACGTAGTGGCACTTCCTCGGGTTCTGACTGACCAGCATTTTAATTCAAGTGTTCCTTTCTTTGGAAACACCGTGCAATAGGTTGCAGAACCGCATTCAAATGCTTGTGATACAAGGATATGGGACTGCGACCTATTTTCTCAAACTATTTGTATACTATGACATATAAATCCGAACACCCAGTTTAAATGGTTTTATTTTAATAAAATTTTGTATAAGTACTTAATGAAGCATAATAAGTAAATGATAAAAATTTCAAAATGATTGCACTGCTTTAAAGCCCTTTGACCTTTAATAATGTGTGGTTGCACCCTGATGTGCTACGCATTCTCCAACGCGCCTAGGCATGCTTCTGATCAGGTGGTCAATGTCCTCCTGTGGTATCTCATTCCAGGCAACCACCAACTCCTCTCGAAGTGCTTCTAGAGTCTGCAAATTGAGCAATCTCCTACCCATCATATCCCACACGTGCTCAATTGGGGATAAGTCGGGAGGTCTTGGTGGCCATGGTAACAATGTGACATCATTATGTTGAAAGAAGTCTATTGTGACTCTTGCAACATGTGGTCGGGCATTATCTTGTTGGAAAGTTGGATCTGCCAGGGTGTCAAGATAGGGTAAAAGATGGGGTTCTAGAACTTCGTGGATATAACGCTGCGCGTTCATGTTACTTCTGATGAAGATTAAAGGTGACCTGGAACCATAAGCTATAGCACCCCAAACCATAACTCCAACAGTGTGATGAACATGTCTTTCAACAAAAAACTGTGGATTCCTCCTTTCACCCCGTCGCCTTCTAACCCTGGCACGACCATCGTACATGCCTAAACAAAATCGAGAATCATCACTAAAGACAATACTGTTTCATTCCTGGTCCCAGAGTGACCGTTGTCTGCACCACTCAAGGCGATTACGTCGGTGTTCTCGAGTTAAAGGGAGGACCCAGTGTGGCCGGTATGAAAACAAGCCAAAACTTCTCATTCGTCGGTAAACACTTCGCATGCCAATAGGTCTTCTGTGTTCTGCAAACCATTCATTTGCAATGGACCTGGTAGTGGAGAAACTGTCCCTTAAGGCCAATAATCTTAGGCGGCGATCTTCACGGTCTGTTGTTCTAGGACGGCGTCCAATGCCCCTTGCTCTTTGCGTACGGCCTTCTCGAAGCCATGCCTGACAACACCTAACCACAGTGCCTACACTTCTTTGCACTATAACTGCAATTGCCCGAAAAGAAAGTCCAGCTTCCCGAAGTCCCACTATACGGCCCCTATCAAACTCACTAAGTTGACGAAATCGTACAGGTCTCCGTACTCTAGGCATCGTAAGAGATCGTAAAGGATGTCAAGAAGCAAAATCCGCCAACGTTGATTCTTTACGGCGGCTGGAATATTCATTTTTAGAGCGTTCGTGAATTAAAAAAAAGCAGTATAAAAACCGGAATGTCCAACTGGTAAGGCTGAAAATTTTTTCACTTGTTATTTACAGTAAGATAAATACATTCACCAACTTTTATTAAAATAAAACCATTTAAACTGGGTGTTCGAATTTATATGTCGCTTAGTATATTTTTACTACTGTACTAAGTCTTGTTTTTCTGCTTTTGCTGATTTTTGAGCGATTTAATAGGAGCCAAACTCCCAACACTCGATTTTAGACGTTTTTCGACATTCTGCTAACTTTAAGACGTAGTAAAACATTTTTTAGGGGTACAGAATTTTGGAGTAAGCTAGGTACTGACTTGATCAGATAATTAAAATTTTGAAAATGGGATATTATGTTTTTTGAATGTTATATGACATGTACATTCTGATAAAAATTTCACACGAGATAACCAGTATGCCAAGGATGAAAAATTTTTGTATTTAGTTTTTGAAAATCTGTCCAGTGGCGGCAGCATGAAGGCCAAAAAAAACGACAAAAACGAAAATCGCTCAAACTTTTTGACGTTTAAGAGGCTGCTGATCATTTCAACAGAAATTTTTTTGTAGGGGTTAAATATTGGGGGTCGAAGGAGGGTATATGTTTATACGCTTCCAACCCCGGTAATTTTATGCATTTATTAGTACATGACCTTAAATTTACAGCTGTAACACGTGGTCAGTCGTCCATGGCAACCTTCATGCGCCAGACTCTGTGTGCGTCTAACTGACTTGATCCATCTATTATTTTTGGTATACCTGTTTGCAACTATACTACAACTATTTAAAACTGTAATGACTCATACGCGTGATCAACACGTGATCAGAGCTCGATCCCGGCTTCCTTCCAGTACAGCCGTATAGCGTACGACATATGTCGTTTCTGTGGCTTTGCGGTGGTCAACAGCACAGACAGAGATGGAAATAATGGCTGATTGTTCTCCGCCGGTAGAACCAATGAAATCAAAGACACGCCTCGACCGGCAGACTCATAGGCGTCGGCAACGCATTGGAACGTGTTTCGTTGAGCGATCGCATATTGTGTGTTTTTATAAGAATTGTTGTGTGATTGTTATTGTTGTGGTTTCTGTGGTTACTGTTTTGGTTATACTTAACCATGGAGAGTACAAATGGCACGAGTGGAACTACTGAAAGAAAGGGAACAAGTAGACGGCTTCGTAAAGCACTGAAGAGGGACGCGAAAGAAATCGTGCTCAACGTGTTCAATTATCTGAACACAACTATGTCGCAGGGAGATGCACTCGCGCGTTGTGAAAGTATGACAGGCGTTCCAGAGTGGACCATTCGCAGGGTGGTACATAAAAAGAAGAAAACTGGAGCTACTACTGATCCAAAGTTTAATTTGAAGGGACGAAAGGCCGTTAAATTGGATGACGATAGCAAAATGGCGTTAAGGCGAACCGTACATTCATTCTTCTTTAGGAATGAGATACCAACCCTCAAGGCTGTACATGCAGCGATCAAGGAAAATGAAATTATACCCCAAATGAGCATCGAGGTAATGAGGAAATCCCTGCACGAAATTAATTTTCGTTACGAAACGCGTAATCGGAAGTCAGTATTGATAGAGAGACCTGAAATAGTCGCCTGGCGTCGAAAATACCTACGCGAAATGATTGAATATAGGCGACAAAGCAGAAAAATCTATTATTTGGACGAGACATGGGTAAATGCAGGTCACACAGTTAAAAAACCTGGATAGACAAAAACGTAGTGAGTAACCGACAAGCAAGCATTGAAGGTTTGTCAACAGGTATTCGTGGACCGTCAGGGAAAGGTCAAAGATTGATCGTAACTCATACTGGTAGCGATAGTGGCTTTTTAGAAGAGTGTGACTTGATTTTCGTCTCTAAGAAACGAGGTAATTACCATGACGAAATGAATGCCAGCTGCTTCGAGAGCTGGTTTCAAGGGGTGCTTCAGCGAGTTGAGCCCAACTCTGTGATCGTCATGGATAATGCTTCCTACCATAGTCGTCGAGCCGAACGTGTACCGACTATGGGATCTCGAAAAAGTGACATGCAGCAATGGTTGCGCGAAAAAGGAATCCCGTTTGACGATTCATGTGTGAAAGCGGAATTGTATGAAAAAATTAAACAGCACAAACCTGCGAACATTAGTTACGTGACTGATGAGATGGCCCGTCAATGTGGTGTCACTGTGCTGCGGTTACCGCCCTACCACTGTGAACTGAACCCAATAGTAGTAGCGCCCGAAGCTTGGCAGAATGCTATCCGTCATGTTATGAAGGAAGAAACAAAAATGTGGCAGCTTGACCACCACATCGACACCATCATAGAGCCAGTTATAGTCAATTTCAACGAGGAAAGCGATAGCGACAATTTATTACTGTCAGATGTAAGTGGAAGCGACGATGAATAAAGGTGATTCCCAAATTTTTGACTTACAATATGTTTGAAACCACTCTTTATTAAGCATGTGACAAATCTAGTTCACCCATGTTAAACATTCATACCCCGCCTATGAACAGCCGACTACTGGTAGTTAAGTGATGTTCACGTGAACATCGATGAGTCATTACAGTTTTAGATAGTTATAGTATAGCTCACAGGGAACGTGTGCCGAACCTACTCCTACTTGACGCCACTTTTTTATACCGCAATGTAATTTTTTAACCTGGATCCGGTTCTGAGTTTATCTAGTTTACAGTCATCGCGCCATGTTCTGTTAATTTCGAAACGAGAAGCCGAAGGTGCCTGATTCATAATATAAAGGCGTCTTGTGTCCCTGAGGAACAAAGCAGGCGTCATTTTTGTTGTTCAACACTTGTCACGCTGATATTTACTGCAGGTCTCAATCATAAGTTTCTTGCTACATTGTCCGTAGAAAAATATACCGATGAAAAATAGAGGCTATAGGAACGTGGGATTGATATTATTTATTTGAGTCTTAGT